TCTGGAGGTCACTTCCTAACCAAGTGACAAAGAACATACCAGGAGGTCAAGGGCACGATGGGCAGCAGGATCGTGTGCTGGGAGTACACCAGCAGGCTCATAGCATCCCCAGATATCTTCCTCCCGAAAGCCTTGGACCCGAATCTAATCAAGCTTATAGCACTAAATTCTAGTTCAAAAGAACCACAGAGAACAGAGGAAGAGTTCAACACCAAAAGCAAATGCTGTGAGAGAATGTGGGCTGGTTAGGGGACAGACCTGCCTGTTAAAATGCCTTCATTGTCAGAAGGCTCAGGCCCAAGTGTCTTGGACCTCTAAGAGTCACAGGTCTGTAGCTGCATTCACACTGTTCCCCAAAATATGCCCTCTAGAATCTGTAAACACAGTTGGAGCAAATGCAGCAAAGTGCTGCTGAATCCAGGCTGTGGAATGCAAGAGTATTCCACATATCCTTCCAACACCACGATTATAAAACCTTTCAAACATTCAGAAAGAAGACAGCATTTCCATGTTGGAAAACTGCTCATTAAGGTGAGAACGAAGACCAGGCATCCTTTACCTGCAGAGTTTTGCCTGGCCCTGGAAAAGCAGGAGCTCATGGAATCCTGAGTCCTTGAGTGAGCAAGGCACCTGGGGAGGCTGTGATGGGAAGCTGCTGGCTCACCCAGCAGAGCTAGCTGGCCCCCTCCCATGGGGCCCCTGAGGTCATGCACCAAAGGCTACACAAACAGAACTGAGGCAGTGCCTGGCTGGTGGCAGAGAGAGGCTGCAAAGGGCAAGTTTGCTCCCATCAGAATCTGTCTTTGGGGTCTGGAAGTCATCTCCTGAGCCACCTGCTCCCCAGGGAAGAGACTGAACTGGATAAAAACAGGCCCAACAACAAAGCAGAGTGGATGCTCTCACCTCATTTTCTGCCACGGGGTGGGTCTGGAGGGTGCTGGCAGTGTTTCTGAGTCCCTGCCACTAACGGGAAAGCACAGGGTCATGTACAGGTGCAGAGCACACCTGTGGGCCTTTGTGTCCTCTCCGGAAAAACAACTGCTGAGCAAGGAGATTTCCATATGAGCTCTAAAATGCAGATGTAACAGAGTTTCTAGAAAAACCAATTATTTTCATTTTGCTCATCAAAACCATTGATCGTCTGTGACTATTATCAGTTTAAAGGACTAACAGCTTGATGGAATGATTAACTGGTTGAACTGGGAAAATCTATTTTTTTTTAACTTTTATTTTAGGTTCTAGGGTACATATGCAGATTTGTTACACAGGGAAACTCATGTCATGGGAGTTTGTTGTACGGACTATTTCATCACCCAGGTATTAAACCTAGTATTCAATAGTTAACTTTTCTGCTCCTCTCCCTCCAGCTGGGGGAAGACCCCAGTGTTGGCCAGGTATGGTGGCTCATGCCTGTAATCCCAGGACTTTGAGAGGCTCAGGTGGGCAGATCAATAGGTCAAGAGATTGAGACCATCCTGGCCAACATGGTAGAACCCCGTCTCTACCCAAAATATAAAAATTAGCTGGGCATGGTGGTGTGTGCCTGTAGTTCCAGCTACTCAGGAGGCTGAGGCAGGAGAATTGCTTGAACCCAGGAGGTGGAGGTTGCAGTGAGTCGAGATCACACCACTGCACTCTAGCCTGATGACAGAGTGAGACTCCATCTCAAAGAAGAAAAAAAAAAAAAGATCCCAGTGTCTGTTTCCTTCTTTGTGTTCATGAGTCCTCATTATTTCATGAAATCTTTGTCCATTCCTATCTTCAGGATGGTATTGCCTAGGTTGTCTTCCAGGGCTTTTATAGTTTGGGGTTTTACATTTAAGTCTTTAATCCATCTTGAGTTGATTTTTGTATATGGTGTAAGGAAGGAGACCAGCTTCAATCTTCCACATATGACTAGACAGTTATCCTAGCACCATTTATTGAATAGGGGGTCTTTTCTCTATGGCTTATTTTTTTCAGCTTTGTTGAAGATCAGATGGTCATAGGTGTGCAGCCTTATTTCTGGGTTCTCTCTTCTGTTTCATTGGTCGATGTGCCTGTTTTTGTACCACTACCATGCTGTTTTGGTTATGGTAGCCCTGTACTATAGTCTGAGGTAGGGTAATGTGATGCCTCCAGCTTTCTTCTTTTTGCTTAGGATTGCCTTAGCTATTTGGGCTCTTTTTTTGGTCCCATATGAATTTTAAATGTTTTTTTTTCTAGTTCTATGAAGAATGCCGTTAGTTGTTTAATAGGAATAGCACTGAATCTGTACATTGCTTTGGCAGTATGGCCATTTTAATGATATTGATTCTTCCTGTCCATGAGCATGGGATGTTTTTCCATTTGTTTGTGTCATCTCTGATTACTTTGAGCAGTGTTTTATAATTCTCACTGTAGATATTTTTTACCTCCCTGGTTAGCTGTATTTCTAAGTATTTTATTCTTTTTTTGGCAATTGTAAATGGGACTGCCTTTCCTGGTTTGGCTCTTAGTTTGGCTGTTGTTGGTGTATAGGAATGCTAGTAATTTCTGTATGTGAATTTTGCATCCTAAAACTTTGCTTAAGTTGTTTATCAGATGAAGGAGCTTTTGTGGTGAGACTGTGAGGTTTTCTAGATATAGAATCATGTTGTCTGCAAACGGGGATAGGTTGACTTCCTCTCTTCCTATTTGGATACGCTTTATTTTTTTCTTTTGCCTGATAGCCCCGGCTAGGACTTCCAATAGCATGTTAAATAGGAGTGGTGAGAGAGGGCATCTGAAAATCATTTTTTAAAAAATGCTTTGTCCTCTGTGAACCATGGCCATTTGCTCTGACCAGAATCATCCCAGACCAGACAAACTGACCCCTTCTTGCTGACCTTGCAAAGCCAACTGGCATCCATGCCTACAGGGAGGACACACAGAGTCTTTCCTGCAGTGTAAGATGTTCTTGGCCAGTCCACACGGTCCCTGGGTGAGGAGGACACCGGGAACTGTGGTTCTTTCCTCACTTTAGGCTGGACCAGTGGGTGCCCAGGCATGGAAAGGCCACAGAGCTGGTCCACGGTAGCCCAACTCTCTGGTTGCTCTCAGAGTCTGGGAAATCAGCACCTTCTACAGCAGCTGCCCACCTCAGTTCACTAGAAAATTCTCCAGTATGTCCTAGGGCCAAAACCTGGCTACTTGTGATTTCTACCCCCGACCCTAGTTCTGCTTTCTGGGGCCTTCAAGGGGCCGCTGCAGTTATGACAAGCTGCAGTTTAGCATGATTTCCATCCCTGCCTTAGTTTGACTTTCTACTCAGAGACCCTTCAAAATAACACCATTCCTGGATATCTGGTGTCAGCCTGGACACTCAGGGCCATCACTTCCCAGCTGCCCTGCTGACCATGCAGAGCAAAGACCCCACAGTGCCCATGTCCCGAGCTCAGGGGCTTGTAGTTGAGAGGTGGATGTTTTCGCAGAGCCAATGCCAGTGATCCCGCCCACCCCATCAGGGAGTAGTGGTACAGAGACCCTCAGAGTTCTAGTAGCTGCATTCCAGAACTTTCTCGCCTTAGTGTTTATGGTAAACAAAGCTCCAGCGTGACGCTGATGAAACAATGCAGGAAGCTAGATGTGACACCACCCAGGTCCAGATTTCACCATGCTGTGGGACGTGAACTTGAGGGGTCTGGTAAACAAATCTTCCGCTGCATCTGGAGATTCTGAAATGGTAGCCCATACTGCCAGGCTCCTGAACTCTCTCTGTCAGTGACATCTTTGAATGCTGCCTGTTCGGGTGACCAATTACAATATATCCTGTTACTCTCAGTCCTACAGAATCCCAGTTATTCCAACACAAACACTGATTATACAAATCTACCAAATGACAGATTTTCTTTCTTTTTGTTCTAAAGATGCACGTTTACATCATTTCTTCTTAAAATATTTGCAACTGAGATAAGGAAAGCTACATCTATGCATTCGCTACGCTGGGTATGATGCCAAATGCCATTTTAGAAATGCTGCAATTAAGAACGATGACAATAATTGCTTTTGGCAGAAACAGAGAGGGAAGAGCCTTTGGAGGGAAATACCCAAAGCAATTACCTGTCAAAACTAATGAAAGGAGAATACCCTGGAATGCATGGAGTGCAGATATGAGAATGTGCTCTTCTCAGGAGACAATCAGCGGAGGTGTCAGATGACCACACACTGGGAAGGGCCTTAGCCATAGCTAAGAGCTGAGAGACTAACCGCAGAGATATTCAGAGAAGGGCCTCTGGGTGCGACAGTAACCCAACCGTCCACAGAGGCAGAAACAAGGCAATACACCGTCCAACCAATAGGCTGCTCTTGATGACTTAGCACAGTTTTTAGACAAGCTCCTTACACTTGGCAGTAATGAGCATTCATTTCTACGGCAAATGTTTACTGAGCATCTGCTGCACTGCCAGGCACTGTACTATGGCAGGATCACCTGCCACTGTCTGGGGCTCCCTGACCAGGGCTTTTCCTGCCAGAAAGGACAGCAAAGCTTAGCACTGCAAACAGCCTCAATGTGGAGATTTGCTCCTAGCATCCCCCTGGCTGGTAAGTGTCCGCTCCTGGTCCCTAAGAGAAAGAGCTAAGCAGGAGGAGAGAGTGCCCTGCAGCAGAGCAAGGTCTCCAAATGCGTTTAGAATGCTGCAGAGAATATTTTACAGATTTTTTTCAGACGACTCAGATACACTGACATTCTGTCTAATTGGCGCGCTGCACGCATCCCACCCTTAACAGCCAGATGGTGAACTACAGACTGTGCGTCAGGAGACACCATCTCCCGGAACACTGCCCTTAGACGGCACCTGGAAACTGGCTCACAGCAGAATTCTGAATTTGAGAAACAGCAGTTTGATGATGGGTTGGGTTCAGGTGGACTCCACAGACAGGGGACACATTCTGGTACCTGAACAAACATTAAACCCACAACTCCAAACCCAGAAATAACCAAAACAATAAAATGAACAAGAGGGTTTTTCAAAGTAACGTATATGAAGTCCAGACAGAACCTTTGTATTTTTAAGAATGCACTGAATCCAATAAAACCCAAACATCTAAATATGCTCCAGATTGAGCCTTGAGTCAGTCCAATACATGTGGTTGGGATCCCTGCCCAGCCATCACTGCCTAAAGAGAAAGAATCATTGCAAACACCTCGAAGATGGGAGTCTCCCCCACGCCTGCAGCATTCTCCGGGCCCTCAGCTTCACACCAACGGGGCGCTGAGTAAACGCATGCGGATATCAGGAAATCGGATGTGTGTGCTAAATCGTCTGTGAAATGCCTGAGATGCTTGCTGTTGTTACCTTCAGAGACAACCTGTGCTTCCTTCCACATCAAATATCCTCAAACCCTTCCCCTGAACTCCTGCTACTCAGGATGCTGCTGGGGCCACAGGGGCTCTAGGGCTAGGACCATGTGAGGCCTGCCTTGGAGAGGGTGAACATTCATGCCTCAGAGCATGGGGAGTTCTGCCATGCTGTTCCAAGGACAATCTTCCATAGATTATGATCAGGACTTGAGTCACTTTCTGGATCATCCCAGAACACGCATCCACAGTGCCAGGACGAGCCACCTACACCCACCTTGCAGCAGGACCTGACCGTGGGTCTCAGCAGGAACGGAGCCAGGTGAGGACACCTGGTACTGGTCTCTCCTTCAGGCTCCTGCTGCCTCTGCCCCTGCAGGATGTGACAGAGGGCCACCACCCCAGCTTAGTCAGGGCCAGCAGCTGTGCCCGGGGTCTGCAGGCTGGCCGGTCATGGTGTGAGCAGCTGCGGGTCTGGGATGTCTGCCCCATCCATACCCTGGGACCCAGCTCTTGTGACCTCACAGCCCAATCCTCCCCCAACCACTGGCTACCCTGGAGTCATCTGAGCCTGCAGTGGCCTCCTTGTGCTCCCGTTCACACCAGGACCTCCCTTCAGTCCCCCAGATGATTGCGGTCCTGACAACTAAGTAGAAACCTCTGCACTGCCCTGGCCACTCCCCTCCTGCCTCCAGGTCTCCCACCTGCGTGCTGGGACCCCTTCACCCTCTTTCCAGCAGCCTGGGCAGTCCCCACCAGAGGCACTTTCCTCGCCTCTGACCCTGCCTTCTTTGTTTTCCGTGAAATTCCTGGGGGAGTGTGCACTACTGTCCTGCAGCCTGGCCCTGGCTCCTTGGATCTTCAGAGGTGGCTCCTGGAGCTGCCCTTCCCACACTTGCCACAAGGACATCTTTATCTCCCACCTGGAGAAACTCGATCAGTGAGTTTTCTCACTTCCAGGAATGCCCTTATTTCTTCCAGAAATGACTGCTCTGTGGACCTTCTTGAAACACAGCTCACACACAAATCCCACTTCTCAGGAGCCTTCGGTGGTCTCAGCTCTGCAGGGCATGCTGACTGCTCCCCTCCCTCAAGTACTCCTTCCTCTCCTCCCTGCAGCTAAGCTCAGACCTGACATAGCCTTCTTCCACCTGCTGCACGCCAAAGCCCACCACCCTTCAAGCTCCACGGCAAAGCCAGCCTGAGCCCCAGTGAAAATACACCCTCTCTCTCCTGTGAGCTCCCACAGCACATTTTGGTGCCGGGAGACAATGGTCCTGGGGGCAATGGTATGCCTGTGTGCAGCTGTAAGAAGAATCCATCACCACCCACCTGGGGGGACAGGGCCAGGTGACCAGCTTCACACTCTGTCCCCTCAGACTGGCCTCTGTTCTTCCCTCATGAAACTGCCTTCACAAAAATTATAGCAGTGAGAAAATGATGGTAGTGAAAGAGATCTGATTTAACCACCCCCACCATCTTGCCTCTAGAAGCCCTCAATTATTCCTGGGCTTAGGTCAAGCTAACTTTTGGAGAATTTTAGGTTATGGTTTAAGTGATAAGAGCCCTTCCCCCAAACTCAACCACCTTTGTAAAGCTAATGAGAGACCACTGGGCCAAGGGAAGGAGAGGAGCCTGAATTCTGCTTAGGTACAGATATAAATTATTGCCAGCCATCATTCTGGACATCATAAGATATGCAACTTTCCCAATTACCCCTGCAGATGACATCACTATTGTGGAACCTAAGATTGGCCTTTTGAATTGTCTTTTCAGGTTTTTTGCATGTCTGACACCACGGCTCCACCTGGACCCACCAATCACTCCTGTAGACCCACCCACAAGTGATTCAGCCCACAGAGGACCATTTCTCACACCCCTGTGATGGTATCCCAATCAGTCAGCAGTAAGCCCCACTGCCTAGTCCCCCATACCTGAAACCACCTTTGAAAAACCCTAGCCTCTGAGCCTTTGATGAGGCTAATTTGAGTACCAACTCTGTCTCCTGCCCATGGCCAGCATCATGTCAATTAAATTCTTTCTTTATTGAAATGCTGTGAATTGATTTTGTTTATGCAGTGGGCAGGACGAACCCATCGGGTGGTTATGTTCTCCGCTGGCAAGGAAAGAGCTACAGGTAAGTTACAGATTCTTTGGAAAGCTCTGTTAGTAATCTGGGATGGAGGAAGGTTGCCTTGAAATTAACTGTTAATTCTGAGCCACAGAAGCACAGCCAACAGCAGGATACTTTACGGCTGCAGACATCTGAGCTTGCTCTGGACATGGCATCCAAGGCCTAGTCCCCTCTTCCAGACAGAACACGCTGCCTCTGCCCAGTCCATCTACACACAGAAAGGAAGAATGGGGTGGTCTGTGCCAGGGCTGTGATAGGGGAGACTTTGGCCAGTGGAACGAGGAGGGGTCATCAAATGTTAGAAAGAAGAACGTGGGGCCCTGCCCTCAAACTTCAAAGAATCAACGTAGACCAGAGAAGAGAAAATGCTGATTTCACAAAGTGGCTGGTGAACAAATGGAAAACCTTATTTCCAGTGTAAAGGCAAATAGAAAAATCTCAGGACTCCCAAACTCTTTATGCCAAAGGAAAAGTTAAGGATGAAGGTGAGTCACTCAAAACCCTCTTCCAAATGAACTGCTGTGACCAGCATCATGTATCAGCCCTCAAAAGGCAAATGGGGCTGGGCGCGGTGGCTCAAGCCTGTAATCCCAGCACTTTGGGAGGCCGAGGCGGGTGGATCACGAGGTCAAGAGATCGAGACCATCCTGGTCAACATGGTGAAACCCCATCTCTACTAAAAATACAAAAAATTAGCTGGGCATGGTGGTGCGTGCCTGTAATCCCAGCTACTCAGGAGGCTGAGGCAGGAGAATTGCCTGAACCCAGGAGGCGGAGGTTGCGGTGAGCCGAGATCGCGCCA